TTTAAATGCAATCTTAACCAGAAGTAATAATTTTGAAGAGCGTTGCCAATTATTTTAAAATTTTACTCTATATATGTACATACATATATAAAACAATGTTGCTTACCCAATACCTAGCATAGCTCTAAGAATGGATTGTCCTATGTGAGCTGTCTTTCTGTTGTGTTTGGCTCTTCCCAAGGAAAATTGAAAATACTATCCGATGAGAAAATTCCGGAAAAATTTATTTTCCCCAGATTTTGTACTCGATTTTTTTTTATTTCCCTAATTTTGATCTTAATATTACAATTAAAATGGTTGCCAAGGTTCAAAATTGCATCAATACTAATCAATTATGTAGGTTAGGTTAGGTTAAACTGCGTTGCAAATTATTACGGGTTCCATTTGCAGTTGTCGGATTTGAAAAATGTACGATGGAATTTTGATTAAAAATACAAAATCAGCCTTATCATGAGTTTCGTTTTCCTCGAACCGGTTCACTTTTTACTTTTCGTTTCCGTGTAATCACTGTGGCCGGATGAAAAAATTTCGGGCGAAACTCACGATAAGGCTGAATGAGAATATCTGGCGTGTATATTTCTTTTGCGAATATGGTTCGATTGCTTCGAAGATAGTTAGAATTTTTCGACATTGTACTTTCAGTGTTCGTAAACCATTCGCCGATCAAAATATGAAACATTCAGGAGCAACAAGCTCCTTAACAACTGCAAAAATTTATATCGTTGGCAACTATGATATTGAAATTGATCAGTGTTGTACGATGATCATTGGAAAATTGCAAGAACTTCGTCACGGACAGGACGCCTTCTGACGAGCAGATAAATGTGCCACTAGAAATCATTAAGTGAATTGTTGGTGAAAGTGTTGTACCAAAATTTTACAACAAAAAATTAATTTTGGGCGAGACTGTTGCCAATTTGGCGTTTTTCTCACTGTTTAGGTCTTCACCGTAAATATTTCTATATTTTTGCGACCCGCCCTAATGTTGGCATATGTGCATATGCACACACACACATGTGCACACGTACTAACATTAATTCTAACTTAACTAAAGTTTCCCGCCGGACAATAAACCTTCGTTAAATTTACCCTTAATATCGGTTGTCCGGCGGTCCGATTTAAAATCCCGCAAGTCCTTTACTTCACTTCGGTTTAGAAGGCCACTCCAATCCAAAGGTATTTAAATATTTTGTTATACCAACTTCTATATACATATATTGAAATAAATTGACCCTGTATTGGATTAATCACTAAAATCGAAATATATTGGTTCTATTTATTTCTTTCTGCTGTATTTACACCGGAGCGTGATTTGCAAACGCCACGGTGTAATCACTGACTAAAATTTGGTGCGTATTCAAAACGCGAAATTTATTGTGTTTGGTGTTTGGTGCGTTTTTGGTGATTTTGTTTTTGTTTGATGACAACAAATTTGTAAATCTTAAAAATATGGAAGCAAGAAACAGCTTGGAAATATCGACCTCTAATTGCGACTTTATCGTAAGCGACAAATTATCGAAAACAAATTTGTTGCAATTGGGGTACAAATACTAGTTACAACGTCGTACAAAATCACAGACTTTGAATACTTGCCGTTACGGAAAAAAGCAAAGTGAGTTTTATCGTTAGTTTTTTTTTACACAAGTGTTTATGAGTTCCTAAAATTTTATGGTAAGCGACACAGAACTTTATTGTAAATAACAGTTTGGACTCTAGTTTTAACCAGAGTTCCATCGGCACTTACTACAACTGAATGCTTCAAAATCAGCTTCTGTCCCTCATCAAAATTAAATGTAATCTGGCATTATGCAATTGCAGCTGCAATCACTAAGTGCAGCGTGGCTCGTCGAGCGGGGTATTTTTAGAAACTCTTGCTTTGCCAAGTGGTTGTAAGATTTAAAAGCATATCAGAAAGACGCAAAACAGACACCTAACGGGGCTTATATTCCTATTATATCGACTGGCATAGAATATATTGCAACTGGATTGAAATTGTCAACTTAACACCAGCTTACATGGCCATATGGATTCACACTTTAGAAATTATTTAATTTTGCTATTGCAAATTGCTATACGATTTTGATTTTATCCTTGTACTTATCATAACTTTTGCACTTCAGCCTTATTTTTATAAAATTGCAGTGGTTGCTTATTGAAAGTTTTCATTTACAATTTTTTTTTTTCCAATAGCAAGGTTTAAAACACATGACGAGTTTAGAAATATAACAACTGTTTTCGAAATTTGCCAAAAATCTCCCTAACATGAAGATTGTGGTACTGAACCTATTCTGGCCAAGGATTAATATTTTTTCTAATTATTACAAAAAAAAAAGTCCAAAAATACTATATAGTTGCGTCAATGTGGTCGTTTTAGATTAATAGAGAATTTAATGAGCTTAAGGGCCGGTTGTTCAATGTCTGGTTATCACTACTTCCCGGTTAAATACCATCATCGACGTTTTTGACGTCATGCATATAACATATGATCGATAAAGCAGTCGTTGTACTTAACCGGAACAACCGGCCCTTAGACTACATCCACGAAGAAAACTTGTGAACAATCTAGTAGATGCACCAAACAATTAAAGTTGAAAATATATTCAGCTTATTCTGATGATTGGCCGTGTTTATATTTAATTGACTTAAAATTCAGTTTTTTCGAACAATCCTTAAAGTACCCGCACTCCTATGTTTATAACTTATAACTGCCCAGATCATACAACATAAAAACTATCGCAAGCGCCAATTCTGTGATAACTTTCCTCTCAGCATGTTCAAGAAAAATATCGTAGCGCCATTTTACCTTTAGACCGTAATGTTGTTTCCATTTAAATCCAATTAAATTTTTACACTATTTAAGGGAGAATTAAAAAAAAACTCTCCTGTGAAATTTACCTTTTGTCACTTACGATAAAATCGCAATGAGCGGTCGATATGAAATATTATACCACGTTTATCAATTTGCGGATATAAAAAGGAAAAAGTGACGACTTTAAGTGTATATTGCAAGAAAGCG